TTAAAAAAAAAAAAAAAAAAAAAAAAAAAAAATATATATAAATTAATTTGTTCTGTAAAAATTAAAAAAGTTAAAAAAGGGAGACATTACACAGTAGGTAAAAAAAATAGTCTCATTTTGAAAAAAAAAAAATATCTTTTAAAAAGAAACTATTAAGCACTTTTTTATCCATTTTATTATTTATATTTTAAATAAAATTAAATAAAAACCTAGAGAATTTACAACTTTGAGAAGTATACTTAGATAACCGTGAATAATTTCATTTTTTAATTATTATAAAAAGCCAACAAAATAAAAATATTATAACAATAAAAAATAGATAATGAATCAAAAAAAAAGTTCATTAAATACTTACATTAATAAAAAAGACGATCAAGTATAAGAAATAATTAAAATGAAATAATAAATAATAAATGAAAGAATTATATTTACTATTTATTTATAACATTTGATAAATTTTAAATGAATAAAAATTTCCTTTAATGTTATGCTCAAAAACCTCTATATCTATTTTAGAAAAATATTATAAGGTAGAAGAAATATAGTACTTTTTATTAATTTAAAACCTCATAAATTTCATTTGTAATATAAAAATAAAGTAAATACTTATATTTTAATGATTCATAAAATAAAATTCAATAAATTAAAATTTTAATAACATAAAAAAAATTAAGTTAGAAAAAAAGGATGGAAATACCAATTAATTAAAAATTAAATTTCCAAAGGTAGTATAAAAAAAGATATTTACATTCATTTAATATTTCATGTGTATTATAAAAATTAGAATTTTATTAGGAAAAAAGATTATAAAATTTTAAATATATTTTATAAAAAAAGATTAATAGGTAAATTTTTGAGAATTCTTTTTAAATGTATATTTGCCTTACAATTTAAATTTTTCAAAAATATTCTTTTGCAGAAGAGATATTACGCTTCATTGCGCAAAATAGCTTAATGTAAAAAACTAAATTTATTTAGAAAATAATTTTAAATAATAATTTTCGTTTAAAAATTCTTAGATGAAATTGCACATGCTATTATTTTCAAGTTGTTTCCATTTATTATATATATATATATATATATATATATATGTATATATATATATTTTTATTTTTTTTTGTCTTAATATGTTCTCTACATTATATTCTCGAATTTTATTTTTGTATATTTTCGTATATTTTTATAAAAAAGCACAAAATAAAAAATACATATTGTTTTTTCATCTTTTTATAGATTAGTTATTACATTTACTTAAGAAAAAATAAAAACACATAAATTAAAAATATTAATTTTTACATATAATGTATTCTAAAAATAACACCAAAAATAAATATAAATATTTTAAAAATATTTAAAATTTAATTTTTATCAAAAAAAAAAAAAAGGTTTATTTGAAAAGACAAAGAAACATTAAATAAAATTATTTTATATCGTTCACAAGTGCTTATTTAAAATATTAGGTAATTATAAAAAAGTTATAATGAAAAAAAAAAAAAAAAAAAAAAATTAGATAAATAGTTTATTAAAAATAAATATACAAAGATATAAACACTATTTAATAAAAATTATTTTTATGCTCAAAAAAATATATATTAAAAATAAACTGTTATAATTAATATTTTATAGTCAATATATATTTAATTATTTTACAATATAAAATCTTTGTATAAAAGTATCTATTTTGTAATAAAATAATATAAAAAAAAAAAATTTATAAAGGTCAAAAATGTTATCTTTTTTTTTTTTTTTTTTTTAAATAAAATTAATAATAGATAAAATAAATTTGACTTCAGAATCTCTTCAAATTATTATAGTTCTATATATAATATATAAAATATTTTTTACATGATAAAAGAAAAAAAAAAAAAAATTAAATTTGTTGAATTTCACCTTTTAAATTTCCTAAATAAATAAATTAAAAAAAAAATTCATTACACTTTTTTTTTATAAGTTAACACCCAATTTTTATTTTATAATTTTTTAAGTAAAATAGGAAATATATATGAATAAATAAATATTTACATTAATACGTACAATAATTATACATTTTATAAGTATATAACAGAAATAATTAGAATAAATGAATATACATTTCTAAAAGTAACTAAAATAGATATTTATTAAAACATAAACAAAAAAAAAAAAAGAGAGTAATAAAAAAAAATTTTAAATATTAATATTAAAATATTAAAAAAAAAAAAAATAAAAAAAAGAAAAAAAAAAAAAAAAAAAGAAGAATATAAACTATATAATAAAAAAAATATAAAGTTCATAAAAGAAAAAATTCAAATATTACAAAAATAGAAAGATGTTAGAAGCTAAACTTAATAATGCATCTATTTTAAAAAAATTATTTGAATGTATCAAAGATTTAGTGAATGATGCAAATGTTGATGCTGATGAAACCGGATTAAAATTACAAGCATTAGATGGAAACCATGTATCTCTAGTTAGTTTACACTTATTAGATTCTGGTTTTTCACATTATAGATGTGACCGTGAAAGAGTTTTAGGTGTAAATATTGCATCATTAAATAAAGTTTTTAAATTGTGTGCTGCTAACGAATCCGTTGTTATATCTAGTAAAGATGATGAAGACAATCTTAATTTTGTATTTGAAAACAATAAAGAAGATAAAGTTACTAATTTTTCTCTAAAATTAATGTCAATTGAATTAGATTCATTAAATATACCTGACTGTGAAGAAGGTTTTGATGCAGAAGTAGAATTAAGTAGTAAAGAATTAACCAATATTTTTAGAAATTTATCTGAATTTTCAGATACTGTCTTTATTGAAATAGATTCAAATAGTATTAAATTTACAACAAAAGGATTAGTAGGTGATGCAGAAGTTGCATTAAAACCAAGGGACTCAACAAGCGAAGATGACATAGGAGTTAATATAAAATCAAAAAAAAAAATTAAACAGTCATTTGCTATCAAATATTTAAATTTATTTTCAAAATCTAGCATTTTATCAGATGTTGTTACTTTAGGATTAAGTGATAGTAGACCAATTGAATTTAAATATGAAATAAAAGATACATCACCAGACGCTGATACTTTAAAAATTGGTTTCGTTAAATTTTTCTTAGCTCCAAAAATGGATGATGATATGGATAATAAAGATTAAGGTATATATTTTTTACATCTTTTTTTTTAATCATAGATCAAATATATATATTTATTAAAAATATCTTTTTAATTATCATTTAAACATATGTATATATGAATCAAATTATATTAAATTTTTTTTTTTTTTATTTATAATATTTTAGGCTTTAAAAATATTTTAACTTTTTTTTATTACATTATTAATTGAAAATAGAATATAATAAAATAAACTTACGTGAATGAAAAAAATGGTTTTCATTAATAAAAAAAAAAAAAATCAAAAATAATAAATACATATATATATATATATATATATATAATATAAATAAACTAGTGATTGTATAAAAAATAAAGAAATATGATAAAATAAATAATACAATTCAGTAGCATTTGTAGCATATATATAATTCTCTATTATAATTAAAATGCTATGCTATAAAACACTAGAAATATAAAAAAGTTTTGAATTTATAAAATGAAATTTAAGCAACTTCATATGAATCTTAGCTTTAAAATTATTTTCATATTTATATATATTATGATTGATGTTTTATATAAAAAATATATATTTTTAAAATTATTTTAACTTTTTTCTTTCCATTTTTGAAATACAAATAACTTATTAATAGAATTTCAATTTTTTTTTTGAAAGAACAGTTTTTATAATTTACGTTCCTATATAAATTTTTATATATGTATAAAGAAAAAAATACAGTTTTACATTACTATTTTTTTTTTTTTTTTTAAATGTTCAAGAATAAGTAAGAAGGATTAAAAAAATAAAAAAAGACACTAAAGAAAAACAAATATATACAATATTACGATTTAAAGAATAAAATTATATTTTTTTTTTTTTTTTTTTTTTTGTATGCACAGAATGCAATAATTTTTTTTTTAAAATAATTTAATAATTATAGCTGGCTGCATCACGCCATAACACAATTAAATCAACAAAAGCATCTCTTTCTTTTTGTGTTTTTGTTTTAATTGGCATTTCCAATCCATTTGGGAACTCTTCAGTTGGTGGACCAAAAATACATAAAGTTACTTTTGCAGTCACTTTTCTAGGTTCTCTTTTATTACATGCTTTTAATGTTGGATGAGACAATCCTTTAGATATATTTTTTATACGAACAATGGATACTTTAAATATATTTTCCAAGTTATCTCCAACAGTCCATTCAAAAGTACTTAAATCTTGGCTAGCTTTCCATTTAAATGTTTGTCTTTGATCACTGTTATAAAATATTTTGCAAGAACCTCCTTTTCTTAATGTATCTTTTATATTAGATGGTAAATCGTGGACTCCATTTACATAAGGATCTATGTCAAATTCTGACAAACTAAAATCAAAAATTAACAATGTGTCTTTAAATGCATCTAGTGGATCTTCTGTTGAATTCATTGCATTTAATGTTAGCTGAACCTTCTGGTATATTTGCTTATCCTCTTTCTTATTGCTCATTTTTGATAATCCACTCTTAAATCCTTTTATAATATCTCTAGTAATAGTTGTATCATACACTTCTCCTGAATACATGGCAATATTATCTATACATATAGCCAATAGTTGCATTATTATTGTATCTCCTGCAAAATTATTTAAAATATCCTTTGCCATGACGTCAAAACCTGATGCTGTCATTGAAATAATCCCTAATCGATGATATGCAAAATAGGCCAATAAACCAAGAGATACCTTTTGTAGTCTTAGCTGTTTTTGGTGCTGTTCTTCATTTGCACAAGTTAATACAGATTGTATTATTGTATCAATCATTTCTTTGTCCATACTAATATTATACCAGCCTCCTAATCTTGCATTGTGCAATTCTTCTTCTTCTTCAGGATATTCATTTACTACTCCTTCCACATTTTGTGTATAATATAATACACATAATAAAACACGCAATACTTCTAACATTACAATTGACTGATTAACTGATTTACAAATGACATTTGCCACTGATGAAACACCACCAGCGTTACAAAACTCGTAAGCCAATTCTTCTGATTGAATTAAACGCCTAACACACCTTAATGAAGCAACAACTAATTCAGTCATTTCAAATTCTTCAATATCGGCTTCCATGCAGCTTATTAAAATTCCAAATGCATTTGCTTTTACTAGCAAAGGTAAACTTGATTCAATTTTGCATTGATTACTTAATAAATGAATTGCTAAGGCTAACAGATTAATATCGTAATCATATGATTGTATAACATTAATCGTTGTTTCTATTCCTCCATTATCAGCAAACATTTTAGCATTTTCATTTAGTCTACATAGGGAGCATAAAATATCTAGTAACAAAAATATTACTTTTGTATCTTCTCTATTTTGCTTTAATACATTTAATACAGGTATTAATGTAACTCCAAAATTTTTCATATTTCTTTCTTCATTTTCCATAACTAAATTGGATAACGTTCGTAAACCTGTCTCTAATTGAGCATCAGGAAACGATTCATTTAATTTATTCAACCAGGATTCATAAGAAACTTCAATTTTTGCATCTAAGAAATATTGAACATTTGAAGTGTATAAAGACAGATTGGAAATAGCCTTAAATAAACTTTCAATGCATCTCACTGCATTTTTATCATCACTACCATCATAACTTTTTAAACATTGTACTAACTCTGCGGGAGAACCATTACCACCATAATACTTCTTCATTTCTTCATTTTTAAACAAAACATTACAAAGCAAGACAGATGCACCATTGGTTACATCAAAGTTATCTCTATATTCTTTCAAAACTCTAACATTCAAGTCTGGTCCTTTTAAATTACTAAAAATAGAACAGTTTGCTTTGTGATCAATACACATGTTTGCTAACGCTAAACAACAGTTTGTTATCGTTGGTTCCATTTTTTCTACATTTAACGATCTCGTTAATAAGTTCACACATGCATCTATTCCTTTTAATTCTCCAATTTGAGTCTTTATTTCTCTTACTACAGATAAACTACCAATTAAAAATAAAACATCTGGATATATAATTTTATCTGTTTCTATATTATTTATAATATTAATTAAGCGAGTTAAAACACCCGCTTTTAACAACGTCTGAACATGTGCATCTGATACAATTTTTCTCATGGAACGGAAAACATGTCGTAAGAGTAAAACAGTATAATGGCCATTATCATAGTCATTCCATATTTCTATTAAATTATGAACAGCATTTGTCTTATCATATACGTTTCTATTGTAAGCTGTTCTGTCTATCAGCAAAACACGATTTTTAAGAAACTCTTCTTTATTTTCTTTATCTAATGTCTTTTCCTTGCTTAAGTCACCTACAGATTTACTGACGATATTAGGATAATCTTTTATTTCTTTTACTACTTCCATGCCTTTTATATTCTTAGTGAAAGCACATAAAGCACGACATGAATAATGTTTTATATTTTCATTACTTTGTTTTGCCAATACATGAAAAGCAGTGGTGTGAAATCCTTTTTTTGCTAGCTCAGAAACATTATCTCCATCAGCACAAAATAATTCTATGGCCATATTACCATAAGAATGATCACTTCCTGCTTCCGTTGTGTGTATTAAATTATCCTTATTATATATCTTTAATCGATCCAACACAAAATTCATTTCTTCCTCTAAGGAAGGATCTTGTAAAACATTAATAGGTGTCCCGTTTGTTGTATATTCTGATAATAAATCATATACATCTTTACAAGTTTTTTCTTTAGGCTTATCATCATTTATTGCACCACGAATATTATTAATTCTAGTTTTCATATTATTAACATAATCATCACCTAATTCACCTCTTCTCTTTTCAAGCATATTTTCTAATTCCTCTAATATTTTATACAATTCTTTATTATTAGCAAGTTGACGTCCTATTCCTTCATTTAATAACAAATTTTCCAATGCTTGTAAAAATGCCTCTGCTGTTTCTGTATAATTTAATATATTATCTTTACTGCTTTCTATTACAATTGGCAATGCAGAACTTAAAATTTTTGAAGCCATAGATGCATCGTAAGATGCTATTATACCTAATGCTTCCATAGCAGCTGCAGTTACTTCTGGGTTTTGTGCATATTCTATTAATTTTCCTAAATTTTTTACTGCATTAACTTTTTCTACTGGTAAAATATGCATAAATATCCCAGTAGCAGCGCAATCTCTTATCAATGCAGCATACGCTTTCATAATTTCTATTCTATCCTGCTCTGGATATCTAGACAAACTTTCCTCAGTCACTAAATCACCAATTTTTTTTAATACATCAGTGGCTACTTTTTCATCTAATAAATTAGCCAAGACCATTTTATCAATCAAATTAATAAATTCTAATGTTCTGTCTTTATTTGAACCTGAATTTAATAATAACTCACAATTTTGTATTATACGTTCAACATTCATATCATTTGCATATCCAGATATATTTGCTGTTTCTGAAATAGATCCTAATAATTTCATACCAGGTATACAAACAGAATCACTTGCTCTATTTGAATTCATGATTACCAGAACCTGGTCTATAAGATTTCCCATAGAACCATTCCATTGCTTGTACAGTAGTTTAGCACCTTCTTCATCCTTTGCTATTTGCTCTAAAAATTCGAATATTCCTTGCACAACTTCTGGTTTATTTTTATGTTGTTCCAATGTTTCATATGTATTACCTAATAGTTGTGGCAATTTATCCAATACTAGTTGTTTCGTGTATGGATTCAAAACACATCCAGCTAAAACGCTATATACTGGAGATACAAATTTAGCATTTGATAATCCAATTTTATTGGAAATCATATCCATATATTGATTCAAAGTTCCAGCTGAAGCTACAACCCATGAACCTAACTGATCTTCATAATCATACTTTACACGATCTACTAGTCTTTTAGTAACTAATGCTATATTAGCTTGTAATGAAACATTATCTACTTCAGACGCTAAATATTCATTTAATACTTGCAATGTAGCTTCAGTATATTGTAAAGCATCTTGAGGGTTTTCTAAAGGAGCTCTTAAAAACATTTCCAATTTACCAGTCAGGTTATCTATTTTCTGTACTGAGTCAGGATCATCTCTTTTAACATTTAGTATTAATTTCATTAATTTTTTCACTTGCTCATCAGCTCCCATATATGAAAACAATACACCTCCCAATTTTGAAATTTCTTCGTTATCGTTATGGATCATAGTAACATCAGAAACTACATCAATAGCACCTAATTCCTTTAATTGCATTTTGTCATTGGCATTACACAATTTAACTAGAACTCTCAATATTTCTAATGCTGTTTCTTCATCATTCTTATTTTTATTTAAACTTTCTATAAGTATTTTTATTGCAGAATGTTTATCTATTTTCATCTTTTCTTCTAGAGTAACATAATCTGCTATAATTGCCAAACATTTTGAACTTTCTTGAACAATAGGAAGATAATCTTGATATTCTTCCATAATTTTAAATAAATTATCAATAACATGAGTTTTATTAGATAAATGTACTATAATTTCTTCTTTTTGAGTTTTTAATAATTCATATAAAGCTTTTATAGCGTTTGCTCTAGAATGTTTATTTTTTTCTAAGTTACCTATTAATTTTACAATTAAAGAAATAAGTTCTTCATATTCTGGGTGACTAATTAATTGATTCACTCTCTTTCCATTTGTGCACATGCAGGCTAAACATCCACAAGTACTTTTTATGACAACATCAGATTCTGCGAAATAATTTATTCCTACGCACAACTTTTTAACCAATCCAGAATTAAAAGCAGTATCAGCATTTATTATATCATGCTTCAGTAGTAAACTTAATGATTCTAATATATTAGAAACAGCTTCTTCTGTGTAATCATTTCCAGGGAGTTGTAATAGATCATATGCTTCTATTAATGCAGAGGCCATTTTATTTTTAGTAAGATGAACTAGTCCAATTCTTGTTTGTGATATATTGATACATGCATGACCTATCTCTGATATAGTAGCATCGTATAAACTTCTACCTATAATGTCATAATCTTTATTAGTTATTGAATCAGCAGCATTAGGATTAGCTTTTAGCCATTTTTCAATATTAAAAAGATATTCTCCTATATTACATCGAGAAGATATTTTACTTGCTTCAGGTGTCAACAGTAGTTCATTTAAGGAAACTAAACATTCGTGAAGTTTTGCAATATTTTTTTCCTTCATAGAATTATCACATAACTTTAATAATTCTTCAATTTCTTTGAATAATGAATCTAAAGGCATTAATAATGCCAAAAGAGGAGCACATGTCATTTTTAATTTATTGTTTCTTACATGTGTTCTCAAGGCTATCTGAAGAGGGTTTAGAGCATTTGCTTTTCTTATAGCTTCAATTGATTCGGGATTAATTTTAATTAAATTTGCTAAAACAGTAAATCCTATTATTTGCACATCAACATACATAGGCACTTTTTGAAGATAATTGGTAATTTGTTTTATATATCCTTTATTAACTAAAACATCTGCACCTATTCTGTCACTACTAAGAAGTATATTATTTATAGCTGAGAGTAAATTCGTTTGAGTTAAACGAGATTCTGAGTATTTTTTCATTAGTTTAAGTATACTATCTATATTCGCTTCTACAATCTCAGTACTACTTATTTTGCTTACTTTTGTTAAATCGTTAATACAAACCACAGATGTTATCAAAATGTTTTCATCTGGTTCTTCAGATTCTATAATTCTTTTAACATTTGCGCTGCACATTATATCAACTATAGATTCTATTACCTCATGTATAGTAGAAGATGAATTTAATTTTAGTATTTTTATGGTTTTTAATCCAGCTTTAATTAATTTAGTTTGATCATTAAATCTTGGTGCTTCTATCCATACTTTAATTCCATTAAAAATGGAATAATCCGCTTTTTTTGATTCTAATATTTTTCTTAAAGATTCTATTCTTGATAACCCTGAAATAGCAGCTAAGGTTTTATATGCACTTTCAGGGTTTGATTGAGCTGAATTAATAACTGATTCCAAATTAGATATATGTCTTTGGCAATCACTTTCAGTAGCTAGTTTTTCCATAATTTTTGTTCCTTCTTGAATTATAACTTCTTCATTTTCATTTTCCAGCATAATAGTTAATACAGCATCAACTACATACTGATTACTCATATAATTTAAAGCATCAGAAGCAGTCAACATCTTATTTATTAATTTTAACCCAATTTCTGCTATTTTTTTATCATTACTTACTGCTGACAAGGCGTCGGCAATTCCTGTTACACCTCCATATTGATTTATTGACTCAATTGATGTTATATAGTCCGATAACCTAAAATATGCAGTAAGACAATTTAAAAGATAATCAGTTTCTGTTAAATGATATTGAATACATGTTGATAAAATTTCTATTGCTTGATTATTGACCATATGTTCATGAAATTCGTTAATCATTGATGCAGAAGCTATACATTCCATGCTAGCTTTTGCTAATTCAATTGACTCCAATGATCCATATAATATAGGAAGAAGAGAGGCAAATAATGTATAATTATTTATTTCGGAAACATAATTAGAACGAGAAACAAATGGAGTTAAAGCATTACATATAGCACTTGCACATTCAGGATCATTAGGAAAATATGACAAAGCAGTACAAAGTGTAGCAATACCACCATATTCATCTACTATTGCAGCATGAGGAGGATTAGCTGATATTCTTCCTAGCATTCTAGATGCTCCTGCCACTAAGCGAGAAATTTTTTCAGGATTACTTTCATATTGTTGTAAACCACTATTAATTAATTCTATAAGTACAGGTATTCCTCCAGATTGTACGACCTTATCTGTTATTGATGAAATATATGAAAGGGAACTCAATAATTCTAATGCAGAATCTTGCTCCTTTGACCCTTGCTCAGATTTTTTTAGTACATTTAAGCAATCTGTTAATTGTTCTGGACCTACGGCACATTTCATAGCATCACTTCCTTTTGAAACAACTCTAGGGTATGACTTAAATTTATCCAAAATTAGTACAGATTTTTCAATTATAGTTGCGTCTATGTATCCATTTGAGGCCATATTTTTAATTGTATTAAAAGCTCCTTCAACCATCGATGCAACATCATCATTTAAAGTTTGAAACGATAAACACTGATCAATTAGCTTGTGATGTGCACCCTCATCGTTTAAGGCCTTTGCTCCAGAAGAGGATTTAGCTGCAACAGATAAAGCATTTGCTATTTCCTTACCCAATTTAGTATTATATGAGTTGGACGTAAAAACATTTAATAAACCAATACCTAAATCTCCTCCTTCAATGTGAACATTTGATTCATTCATATTTTGAATAAATGACATGCAATTTTTTACTGTTTCTTGATCTGAGGGGGAACTTTTAATTATTTCTACTATGGCATCTACACCACCATCTGTTATTAATTTTTGTAAAGCTTCTTGATCTTTTTCGGAACAACAATAATCAGACATAGCACACAATATTTTACTTGAGCAAAAAAGAATATCATCATCATCTTTATAATTAACTACTGCATTTTTTATAGATCCTACAGCACCTCTATCCAAAGCATCATATGCATTTTCTTTGTATATTTTTGATGTTGGATTACAAAAATCAGATAAAGATCTTAACCCAAACATCAACATACGTTTAAAGTTTTGGTGCTGCATAATAGATGACACAGCAGTACTAACTCCTGGATCACTTCCTCTTTTCACTGAAAACAAAAAAAAATAAACATAAATGTAATATATATATTTATCATTACTGAAACAAAGTATTCACATGTTGGAATTTTAATTTATATATATATATATATATATATATATATATATATATATATATATATTTTATATGTATAAAATGTGTAAGAATATATGTAAAACATTATGAAATGATAAAAATAAGTATTTCATTATAATTTAGCATAAGATAAAAATTTATTTCCTTCATAAATGAATAAAAATATAAAAATTTCCATATGGTGTAATTATCTTTTTTTTTTTTACCTTGTAATCTTGGCATTTTGTTTAATATATGATGTTAATAAAAAAATATATTTAAAAACAATAAAATAGTAGAATGAAAAATTAAATATTTTCTTAATTGTCAAGGTAAAACAAATTGTTGTAAAATTCTAATTTTTATTTTTTTTTTTTTTATGAAATTACGGTACAAAATAAAACACATTTAATTAAAAAACATTATTCTTAAAAAAGAAATATATAATTATAAACATTAAAATTATTTTATCACATAAAAAATGTTAATGTGTTAAAATACATTGAAAGACAAAATTAAAGAAAAGTAAAATTGAAAATTTTTAAAAATGAAATCACAATGTAAATTTTTTATAAGTAATTTAACACAAAAATAACACAATGTACATTTACAAAAAGTTATGAATACGCTGTTGTATATATATTGGGAACATTTTTGGAAACTAAAAAAATAACAATGAAAAAGAAAGAAAAAATGAAAAGAAAAAAATAAAAATGAAAAGAAAAAAATAAAAAAAAATAAAAAAAAATAGTAAGAAAAAAATAAAGAAAGAAAGAAAAAAAGAAAAATAAAAAAAATAGTAAGAAATAAAGAAAAAATGAATGTAAGCCTACATATATATGTTATATGAAAACAGATATAAAAATAAAATGCTTTTTTCGAATAAAATTATATCATTTTCAAATTATTTTGTTTATTTTTTAGTGTGCATTTGCATTTTCAGTAAATTTTTCTGACAACAGTCTTTTTTTTTTTTTTTCTGATTAAATCATGGGCTAGCTGTAACATATATATAATATATTTAATATACATAGTACATGCAATTAAAAATAAAGTTTTAGTACATGATTTTTTAAAATAATAAAAAAATAAATCTATGATTTATACACACAAAAAAAAAAAAAAAAAAAGGGAAAGTTTTTTTTTAAAATTTCTTAAATAAAAAAAACTTAATTTACAATTTTATATTTTAAAAAATATAATCAATTTTATATATAAGATATAAAACTTTCAAAAAGTTAACTTTTTACAAATGAAACAAATTTACAATTTGCAAAAAAACTTTGAACGGTTTTGTTATTTTAATAAAATATTTTCCTGTGTATAGTAAATAATTTGTTTTATATAATGAAAAAATATTTCTCTTAATTTTTATATATATTAAATTTATATATATGTAAAATGGTATTTTGATGAAAAAAAACTGTTGAGACAAAAAAAAAAAAAAAAAAAAAAATAAAAATATATAAATGTAAATATTTGTACATATATAAAACTGCTTTTAAAATGCTGTATATTTGTTTAACAAAATTTGGAATAAAAATTTTAAACTGTATTTAATTATATATGTGGTGTGTACTATAGTACATTGAAAAAAAAAAAAAGAAAAGAAAGAGAAAAAAGGAAAAAATATATCTATTAATTATTCATCGTCCTCTTCTGGTGGAGACTCTACTTCATAAACCCAATACCTTATAAAGAGTAAAAAATAAAAAATTAATAATAAAAAAAAAATAAATAAAATAAAATAAAATAAAAAACAAATGAATGAAAATATATGTGTATGTAAAAAGTATTTCAAATATATCAGCAACTTATTTTTTTTTTCTCTATCATTAAAAACAAATATAAATAAATAATGCAATAGTAAACATATTTTTTATGAAAAAAATTACTTAAATTACATTAATTGTAAAATAATAACATGGTAAAAACATTGTATAAATAAAAGATGTAAAGGAAAAAAATGAATATATAAATAACAATAAAAATTTCACATTTCGCGTGTGATGATAAAATATTTATATATTTTATCACAAATTAAACATAAAATATATTAAACATATATAACATACACAATTAAAATATGTTATTATATTAGTATGCATTTTCCTTTTTTTTTTTAAATTTTACCATTGTCTTCCAATAACTTTTACTGTCATTGTTGTGTGAACTATTTCATCTAACATATACAACATAGTGAAACATGGAACAGCTATACTCATAATTATAAGAGTTGGAATCCAAAAAAATAAAAATTCAACTTTTAAAACCATATTATAATTTCCCCATACATTTAATCTTGTTCTAGACCAAAAAGGAATATTATGTTGGCTAACGTTAAATAAGTATTCAAATGGTTTTGTTTCTTCTCCTTTTATCATTTTTTGCCCATTTACAATTACAATATTTTGTTTTGGGGTACTTGACCAATAATCATCCCAATGATAATTATCAAAATCATATTCATACTTCCTTGTTCCATCTTCATTTAGATGATCACGTGGATTGCCATGATGATGATCTATATGATGATATAACCCCTTTGTATGCACTTCATGACCATGAGCATTTTCAATATGTATTTCTTCTTTATTTTTAATTTCGTTTGCATTACTAGTCACTTTTTTATTTACTGTTGAAAAATTGTTACATATTAATTGGTTTTTTTTAATATAATATGGCTTTAAGTAAGGAATTTTTTGATTAATTATTAAGTGATTTATATTTCTTAATCCGAAATATAATTTGGAATTAAACTTAAACATTTTATTTATAAAGAAACAAACATTAAATATAAATAAAATATTTAAATTAAAAAAAAAAATAAAAATAGTACACTAAAAAAATTAACTAAGTTTCCTTGTATTCTTTTAAAGAAAAGTAATAAAAAAAAAATTTTAAATTAATATTTATAATATTAAAATATTATATTTATAAATTAAAAATAACCATTTTTTGTTAAAAAAAAAAAAAAAATGTTTTAAATCATTACTTTTTCTTTCATTATATTCATTAAAGTTCATGTGAACAAACATTTAATAAAATAAAATAGAATTTTTTATAATAGAATCAATATTGTGAAAAATTCATTAAAAATATATAGTTTACTTTTTTTATATATTCTTGAATTTCTGTTTAAAATAAAGAAGTGCATGCTTATAAATTTTTTCTTTTTATATAAATTCAATTCTATAATAAATGTTTTTAATTATTAAAATATAGTTATTATTAAAAAAAATTATTATAAGAACTTAAATGCACTATTTCTGATTATATATATATATAAATATACATTATTATTAATATAAAATGAGAATTATTAATGATTAATCGTTTTAAAATAAAATCTTGTTCTTTTGTATGATTTTTTTTAAATAAAAAGAATGTACACAAAATAAAAAAAAAAATTTATATATTATATAAAATTCAATTTTTCTTTTTAAAATACATATTTTTTAGTATTTATTTTAGATATAATATATTTTCCTGAATCTTTTATCTTTTTTTATTTAATTTCTTTTTTTTTTTTACCTTAAAGTGAAATGCTATATAATTTAAAAAAATTTAAAAGGTTACTATATTTTTAATTTAATATTTTATTTTATTTTAGATATATATCTTTAAATATATATCAAAAAAATCGTTAATATAAATATTATTTATTAGTTTAAAAGGGAAAAATATAAATATACAATTTGGTTATGATCTATCACACTTGATAGCTAATCAAAAAACTATTCATTATTACAATTTAAATTTTACGAAATATAAAAAATGAAAATAACAGAACAAGTAGGTAAATTTTAAAAATATTAATCATAAGGGAAAAAAAAAAAAAAAAAAAAGACATTTATGAACATAAAAAACATTGAAAAACAAAATTTTAGTACAAAAATTTTTTTTTGATAAAATAAGGTATACGAATAATATATTATATTAAACGAATCACTCAAATAATAAAAAAAAAAAAAAAATAATTGGAAAATATATTTCTGTTATTTAATAAAATTACTTTATAATAATTTTTCCTTAATTGGCTTTTTATTTGAATTTGTATTTTTGAGAAGAAACTATATATTTTTTTTTTTTTTTTCTTGTGTTATATTTTTAATATACATAATAAAAATGGCGCATAATATAAAAAAATATGTATGTTTAGTTTTAAATAATTTCAAAAGTTTTAGTACATCTAGTTATAGAAGTTATGGAAGCATTAAATATTGTAATAATAATTTGTATACATCATCATTTAATTCATTAAATTTTAATTTTAAAAGATTTTTTAATAATAATAAAAATGATGTTGCTTTAGATTGGGAAAATTCAGATGACATAGCAGATTTACTTTTTGAGGAATATAAAAATGTAGATCCATTAACATTGAGATTTGAAGAATTGGAAAATATGATAGTAGACACAGTTGTAAATAAAAACAAAAAAAAGTTAAATGGAAGCTGTAACGAAAGTGTTTTAGAAAATATTCAAATGAACTGGCTAGAAAAATACAATGAAGAGAATGATTAGATGTATTTTATCATTTGATTTATTTTATTTTTTTTTTTTTTTTTAATGTATATGTCAACTTGTTTTAATATATTTTAAGCTATGAATTATAATTTTTAAATTAAAAATATAAGGTTATTTTTAGTTATGTTTATATATTTATAAAATACATTGGATATATTTTTTTTTTTTGGAATCTTTTTTATTAATAAACAAATTTGAAGTTTTTTTGTTTTAATTTATATATTTTACATTATATATTTTTTTTTATTTATTTCTTTTAAAATTCAATGCTTAGAATTATAAAGGTGCACCTACAATTCATGCAATATTTTTGCATTAAAAAAAATGAAATTAAAAAAAAAAAATAATAAATAAATAAAATAAATTATTTTATTGAAAGATTCTTTTTTAATTTATTTTTGATTATGGAGAATTTATTGTATTTTATATTACTAAGGAATCATTTTTTATCAGATTAAGAATAATCTTAATTTTCCATTAATTTGAATGTAAATTAATATACACTTTATTATATTATCAACAATAAAACTTATAAGATTTATATATTTTTATCATAAAAATTTCTTTGCATGTTGTTAAATTTTTTAATTTAAAAAATAAAAATTTAATTACAAGATAGTCGAATAAATTAAAAGGAAATATTTCGTTTGGATATATAAGATAATAATGTATAAAAATAAAAAAAATTCCAAAACATTAGAAAAAAATAAAATATTAAAAAATTTGTTTATACTAATTTTTAAGATATATGTTATATATATAAATACATATATTGTCTAAAGTGTGTCAATACAGCTTTCTTTTTTGTTATTACTATATTTTCTATTCAATAGATGAAAAAATCATTAAAAGAAAATTGTATAGATAATATTGAAAATGATATACATAAAGAGGTTATTTTAACTGATTTTTAATTTTTATAGAAATTTTCTTATTCTATATTAATATCATTTTTTTTGAATATAGGAATATTTAGATTTTTCGGACGATTTTATCTTTTGTTCTAACTATAAAAAATTTTCACCAGTATTATTTAAATAAAAAAAAAAAAAAAAAAAAAAATATATTTTATTCTGTTTATTTTTACTAATGATTTTTTTCAGTATTATAAAGAAGGATATCTAGAAAAAAAGTGTTCTAATTCATGGTGTGGTTATAAAAAAAGGTGGTTTCTTTTAAAAAATAAGAAATTATATTATTTCAAAAATAAAGAAAGTTTTAGGCCTTCTGGTGTTTTAGATTTAGATTTAATTAATATGAATATTAATGTAAATATGAAATATACTAATGATTTTTTCATATTAAAAGATTAATATTTGTAATATAATAATTTTAAAAAAAAATATATTAACTTAAAAAAAAATTAACATGAATTATATAACATTAATGTAACAATACAATATTTCAATTATTATAATTTCATATAGTGTTTACTTATATACTTATATCATTTTTATATTTACTATTATTAATAAATTATATCTTAATGAATATTTTTAACTTAAATTGTATAGTATGAAAATGGATTAAATAGGAAGAAAAGACTGGATGACTGCTTTATATGTACCTTTAAAACAATTATAATTAATTGTATTAGAAAAATATTTATATATTAAACTACTTTTCATATATATATGTATATAATATTTTATAGATTGCATAGAATCAAGAAAAAATAAAGATGAATCATTTCTGATATTAAATCCAAAAAATACATATATAAATTTTTATTTAAAAGTAAATATACTTATTAAAATATTAAAATAAATATAAATAATATTTAAAAAGAGATTTTTAAAAAATATTAGATTTAATTATGGATGTAAATTTCTTATTTTTCTTTTGAAGGGAGAAGATAAGGAAATAATAGAGTGGTATAATTTACTTAATAGTTCAATAGACAACAAGAAAATTTTAAATCAGCCTAAATTTATTTTTTCAGAAAATAATTTTTGGAAAATTGATAGAATATCTGTTGAAGTTTTTGAAGCCATAGCAGATACAGGTGATATAATATTATTTAGGTTAATAAAAAATTTCAAAAAATTTTTTTTCTTTCTTACTATATCATTTAATATATATATATATATCTAATTCATTAATATATTTTTTTTTTTTTTTTAAATGAAAATAAATGTTTTATTTATTTTTTATTTTTTAAAATATTTAATACTTTTTTTTTTTTAATTTGGTTATTAAATTATGAAAATTTATTATAATATTGTCTTTTTTATTTTACTTTTTATATAAGATCAAATGTTATCTCGGGAAAACTACAGAGAATATTAACAGGGGGAGATTATGATCATATTGGTATGATCTTAAGAAATGACAAAAATGATTTATTCCTTTTAGAAGCTATTTCAAATATGGTTATAAAAAAAAATTATTATAAATATTCAAATATACAAAAAATTATAAGAATGTTCTTTTTACTTTTTTTTCTTTAGGGAATTATTTTAACACCATGGACTCTCTTTGTAAAAAACAAATGGAATGAAGCTTATTCAAGGTTACTTTTTTTTTTTTTTTTTTTTTTTTTTTTT